AAATAATACATACATTGGACAAAAGAGCATACCCCACAACATAGGGGGTATGTAATCAGGACTGGTGGGAAGGCCTTCTAGGCAGCATTGTCTGGGAACTTGCATCACTGGGGACACCCATAATGGACTGGCCCATCAAGTGATTATGGCTGCCCACTGAAGAGAGAGTATCAGCTTGGCATCTTCTACATGCATAGCAATGCAATGTCTATAACATTTTGCTAATATAATATAAGCATGAAATAATAAATAAAATAAGCATAAAATAATGCTATCACCATGCCGGACAGTCTCTAAATGTCCATAGAACATGGAAGTAAAATGATAGCTTTGTATAACCAATCTCCATTTCAGCAGCATAATTCATGTATGTATACGGTAGATATTAAATTTTTTTTCTGCAAGAATTTTTGTCACAAATTAAAGTTTGTGTGTACTGCAACTTCATTTGCAGTTTCTTCATTATCAAATACTAGTGAAAAGGTTAAGATATCACAAACTGTTAATTGCTAAATACAAGTGTTGGCCATGTAAAATCATTTTTTTGTTGTTTTTGTTTTAGCTTAGGCTAGTTACACTTTTGTAGACATGCTGTTTGTTATTGCTCGTGCTAGAATTGGAGATGCTTCACAGAATGCCAAGCCTGTGTTTTTAGGTCACTCTGCCTAATCTTCCCGAGTAGGAAATAATAGGGCAATATAATCTAATCAGCTAAGCTATTCTTAAACTATTGAAGTATCTCTACCCAGTCCCAAGGTACATGCTGTGTTTATTCGTGTGAGGCTTGTTTGTAACTTACATTTCAAGGCACAGTGGCTCTTAGTGGAATTATATTTACCTCATTTTATATTTTATTTTCTAAATACTAGTTTTCTCAGATATCTTTTTTATGTGAAAAATAACAGATCCTGTCTGTGAGCTGGGACACTGAATGGATGTGTGATGGTTGACTGCAAAGAACATTATTAACAATGTTAGGTGATATAGTGTATGTCAGCTTGCACAGTCCTCATATATCACATTTAACACAGCATACATCATAAAATATCACAGATTATTTGAAAGCAAGAACAATGAAGTTTAAACTATTGCAGAGCATGAAGTGAAACAAAATATACTTCGACCCAAGGGGCACAAGCTTAAATCCATGAGTTGCAAAAAGTCTGTTAAGTTCATATGCCTTTTAAAGCTTCTTGGTCACATAGTGTCGCTCTATTAATTATGGCCCTTGGTTGTCTTTGAGTTCTATGAAAAAACAATAGGTTGAAAATGTATCATAAGAATTAACCTCTACTCAAACCAGAAAAAGCACATGAGTCACAAAGGAATATATCGTAAATCTCAGTGTCCTCAAAAGATTTTGTTTAATAACACACAGTATTGTATCATAGCTGTCTAGAGATTTATGGCACGAACTTCAAAAAAAAAAAATATATAAAAGGGAACATTTCTCTTATGTAATTTTTATTGTCCTAGGGAAGCCTGTGAGCTTAGCTTCAATTGTTGAAAAAAAAAATTGAATCCCAGTAGCTATCAACTAAAAGATAGGGTAAATCAACAAAACTACCAAAGGAAGCAATAGAAGTTATAGTACATATGTGGAAAGTGTTATGTAAAAGCAATGGTTAATAAATCAGCGACACGGAATAGTTTAAGAATAATTTAATATTGAAACAGCCTTTTAGACTAGTTTCTCAAGCAGGACAAAGCTACTTAGACATACTCCCTAAGTGTGTATCAGTCACAGCAGAATGGGACACATAGGATATTTTCTAAAAATAATTAAACCTGTATTCTCACTAATTGACCCTCTGAGTATCAAGGGGCTTTGTAATGCTTTGTTCACATGTTTGATTTGATGTATTATTCACTTACTTGTACAAGAATTCCCCAGTAGCCCAATTTCGGTGATACCATTTCTATTTTGATCAGATGTAGCAGGACAGACAAAGTGCTACTCAAGACAACACTCTTCAGTATGCATTCACAATACAAAGAATGGTACAGGTCGCTTGTTTATATCTTTAAAAGTCAGGGATGGATGGATAGATACATGGATGAGTGGATGGACATATATTGCTGGTCACTAATGAAATCTCAATTTTGTATTATTTTCTTCAAATAGTTTGTAGTGGTTAGAGGTTGAAATAGGATTTTCCCGAGGAAATATATGCTAGAATGATCCTGGAATTCTATGGAACTAGCCTGATGATCAACTATAGAACCATCCATTGAGTGGGTAGAACAGGAACTTTGTCAAATGAACTGGAATTTTAGCCCCCATGATTGCTGAGAATTGTAGAGCTCCAATTTGATCATCATATCACATTTTGTAGAAGGACCAATATGATTATCTACTTTATGTTGCCACTGTTAATTAATATATGATCAGTCATGTTGCAGAGAAAGAAGACAAAGGAATGGCAATTTGTGCAATGACATCACTGTAGCATGGATTGTGAGGGTGTGCTAGGGTTTGTGTAAATTCAGAGATGCACATATGTGAAGTGTTAGTTTTTGTGTGAATGATGCATGGCAGGGGTAGGCAAACTTTGGCTCTCCAGATGTTTTGGACTACGTTTTCCTTGATGCTTTACCAGCATTATGTCTGCAAAAGAATTATGGGATATGTAGTCCAAAACATCTAGAGTGCTGAAGGTTGCCTACCCCTGATGTATGGTTAATATGTATTATAAATGTATGGCAATTAATTTAATTGGATTTGTTATTAAAGATTGTGTATATACTTTGTTTCGTATTGTTTTAGAATAGAATCTGCTTTCTAAACATAAGTAAATCCATTAACATTGCTAAATCACCCTATAGACCTATTCCTTACATTAACTACTGAAGAAGGAACTTAGAAAATAAAACACAAATGGGGGAGAAAAGGGGGTTGGATTTCCCATGACCTTCAATTTACCAGACTAACCCTGATGAAAGGTCACCCGTGCAAACTAATATTAAAAAGCCTGGAAAAGGCAAACCTGTTTTTCTACAGATTACTTTAATTTACATTTTACAATGTACTATGTTACTCTAGTGAATGGTGTGAGTTTGCTTGGGGCAACCTTTGTGAAGCAACCTAAAATGGTCTACTTTCTCACAAATATTTGTTGTAAGGTCTGAATTTAGTGCAACGGGCCTAGTATCAAAATTCATACAGAATAAATCAAGTGAATTTACACTGGTAGAAAGGCAAGGGATAACACCAAGTACTTAACATTGTTCACTTTGCTCATCATTTTCAGCAACCTTTCCTTTTCTTCTCCTCTCTCCTGATGCTGAAAAAGCTTTTGACTGGGTGGACTGGAGTTTTCCAAATCGTACCTTACAGTGTAAGGATTTTGGTCCAAACATGGATTGCGGCTCTATATACGATCCTAAATACCTGGTTTAGGGTAAATGGAGATATAGAAGAGATTTTCAGAATCTCCAGTGAGACTTGCCAAAGTTATCATCTCCTATTTGCCCTCTCTACAGACTTTTTTTTTTTTTTTTTTTTGGCAAAACCTTTTATATCAAATACATTTTTTTAAATCTATTATTCAGACCTGCAAACTGATTTACACCAGTGGTCAGGTTCATAGATTTTATTGTTTGGGTAATTAAATGCAAAAACATTAATATTTTACTATGTATCCTCTACTTATTTTCAAACAATCATAATAGCCATTGCTTCTTCCTATTTCTAAACAATGATCTCTGCTACCCTTACATTTATTTGGAAGGGTAGAAAAGCAAAAAAACACCATAGCTAACACTTTTCACCTAAACAAATAGGTAGTGAAGGCCTTCCAGACTTATTAAGTGTTCTTGCATAGCAAGACCACTTAATGTTATCTCACATATATATTATTATTATTATTAAGTGTTCTTGCATAGCAAGACCACTTAATGTTATCTCACATATATATTATTATTATTATTCTTATTATTATTATAGCAAAATTTGCCACCCTAACTCCTCCCACAGTTTTTACACTTCATAGACCAAAATTAATGGCAACCACACCAAAATACTCCTGACCTGTAAGAGGCTGCAGCAGCAAGTGATGTCATAGACAGGGGGCCTTTTGAACTTTCCTGCAATGTTTTTTTTATGATACTTGGTTTTGAATGTAACTGTGCAACAGCGTTACAATTGAATTAATGTGGGCAGCTACTGGTGGAGGCGAAGGCAAGCTACACAGAATTTTAGAAATTTGCTTCCAGCTTTTCTCTGGATTTATTATTTAAGCTTCCCGCTTACTTAAATCTATTGATTACCACCATTAGCTCTCGAAACGCTATGGTTGAGTATTAGGGGAGGAAAAGGAAACTCTGATTTGTGCCGCGTACTGTTGGGCCTACAGTAAGACCGATGCTTGTATTTCTAATTCATTGCACCGGCACCCATTTATTAAAAGGTATTTTAACTTTGCGCCGCTTAAGACCACTTAATATTATCTCACATATATATTATTATTATTATTATTATAGCAAAATTTGCCACCCTAACTCCTCCCACAGTTTTTACACTACATAGACAAAAATTTGCCAAAACGTGCAGATTGTTCCCGATCGGATTGCTATTACTTTGTGGAACGTTTCGCCGAATGGTTCACGGAATATCGTCGTTCTTGTGGCGAAATTTGTCCCATAAGAATGAATGGCAAAGCTAGAGTGGGAGCTGGCAAAAGCTGAAAAATCAGGACATGATTTCTAAACTGCCGCCACTCCCTCATTTTCAGGCCCACCTACACAAATCTTATATCAAAACGTTCAGCTATCCCTGCTGCCACTAAACATGTCAACGGCTAAGCCAAAGTCCTGATAGTTTTCACAATATAATCATTTGTTTGCATCTAAAGCCGTCCATTGACATTCATTGAAACTTCACTCTACAAAGCTCAAATGTGAAGTGCAATTTCTAAACTGCGACTGTGCCTTCATTTTTAATACTTCAGAGACATACTATGCATCAAAATGTAGGTCTGGGTCTTGTGATTCTCACAATATAAAGCTCTTCGCTGTAGGATGTATAGTTTTTAAAATACAACCGTTTGAAGATGGCAACTGCCAAAATACTCTGACCTGTGCCAGGCTGCAGCAGCAAGTGATGTCATAGACAGGGCCTTTTGAACACCTGCTAATGTTTTTATAAATGTATGGTTTAATGTAACTGTGCAACAACGCTGCAATTAAATGTGCTATATAAATGATAAGTTACTCCGCCCACTCCAGTTGTAGACTACTGGTGGAGGCAAGAACACTTCACACAATTTCCCCTGAAATTGTAACTTTTCTAGTTATTATTATTATTCTTATTATAGCAAAATTTGCCACCCTAACTCCTCCCACAGTTTTTACACTACATAGACAAAAATTTACCAAAACGCGCAGATTGTTCCCGATCGGATTGCTATTACTTTGTGGAACGTTTCGCCGAATGGTTCACGGAATATCGTCGTTCTTGTGGCTAAATTTGTCCCATAGGAATGAATGGCAAAGCTAGAGTGGGAGCTGGCAAAAGCTGAAAAATCAGGACATGATTTCTAAACTGCCACCACTCCCTTATTTTCAGGCCCACCTACACAAATCTTATATCAAAACGTTCAGCTATCCCTCCTGCCACTAAACATGTCAACGGCTAAGCCCTGATAGTTTTCACAATATAATCATTTGTTTGCAACTAACGCCGTCCATTGACATTCATTGAAACTTCACTCTACAAAGCTAAAATTTGAAGTGCAATTTCTAAACTGCGACTGTGCCTTCATTTTTAATACTTCAGAGACATACTATGCATCGAAATGTAGGTCTGGGTCTTGTGATTCTCACAATATAAAGCTCTTCGCTGTAGGATTTATAAATGTATAAAAGGTTTTTAAAATACGACCATTTGAAGATGGCAACCGCCAAAATACTCTGACCTGTGCCAGGCTGCAGCAGCGAGTGATGTCATAGACAGGGCCTTTTGAACACCTGCTAATGTTTTTATAAATGTATGGTTTAATGTAACTGTGCAACAACGTTGCAATTAAATGTGCTATATAAATGATAACAGTTACTCCGCCCACTCCAGTTGTAGACTACTGGTGGAGGCAAGAACACTTCACACAATTTCCCCAGAAATTGTAGCTTTTCTAGTTGTTAAAAGCACTACAGTTTTCTGACTTTGAACCCAGGATTATTTACTAGAGTGAGAATTATCACATTTAAGGCCACATTAGCTAAAGGTATGCTTCCAATTCAGCTAGTTTTGTCTACAATTTAAAATTCATTTTGCAATCCTTATGATTCTCACGTTAATGAATGACCCTAAATATAAGGAGAAACAGAAACAATGGGATTTAATCACTTAGCTTCAGTGTAAAAAGCCAAGCTGTTGCTGAGTTGGAAATCCTTTAAAGATCAGTTGTTTTTGCTTCAATGTTGCCATTTGGATTTCAACTATTCATTGTCTATCACTGCTGTTCAAAGTTGCACTGAAGATATAGAAGTGTTCATGTTATATGAAGTGCCTACGGATTGGCCAGGCTAAGTCTCAAATAGACTGTAGTGGTTATGGTACTTATTTAGGTACAAAAAAAAACACCCAAAATAAAATAGCTTCCATCTAATGCTGCAGAACAAAACGGAACAAACACAGTATGCTGGGACAAGATAAGACAAAAATTCCAGACTGTCCCACCAAATATGGGACTGTTCTAAAGCCATGCCTTCTTAAAGGAAAACTTTAGTTTTAAGAATACAAAGATGTATTCGAACACTAAAGCATCCCTTTGCCCCCTCCACCTGCATAGGTGTTAATACCCCTTTAAACAATTACCGGATTCCAGCACCGATGTGCCTCGACGCTCCTCCTCCACCGATGTTGGCTGTTGGGGAGAACCTAATGTGAATACACCACAAGAGCATTATGCCATCCCCATAGGAAAACATTGCCTCAGTGCTTTCCTATCGGGTTTTTGAAGGTGCTGGATGCCCTCATGCAAAGTGTGAGGATGTCCAGCGTCTTTTCCCATAGTCAAACTCAGTAAAACAGCAGGAAGCACCTCCAGTGGCTATCTGGTAGACAGACTCTAAAGTCAGTATTAACTAAGACTAAAACTAAGTTAAGGGGGACAGGGACAGTGCACCCAGACCACCTCAATGAGATGAAATGGTCTGGGTGCCTCTACTGTCCCTTTAACCACTTATTATTGTTAATATTTGTCATTGTGTATTTTTTTTCCAGTATAAAGAGCTATTGAATATGCTGGCACTATATAATACTATCTAAACTATGTAGGAGTATCATGAAAATGGATGAAAATGGATCCGTGGATGGCAGGCACTGATTGGAAAAGTCCATGTCTACAACATGCCAGAACACAGCTGCCAAACACAACATGGCCGCCATCTCCGAATACTATGACTTGCAATGGGGCGCGCGTCATCAGGACGCGCCGCTAGCACCGGGTGACGTCACCGCCAGCGACCGCCGGCTGTTTGCAGCATCGAGAGGGAAGGCGCTCCGGAGTGATGGCGTCTTCGATCTGGAAGGGGTTGGTAGGGGTCGGTCTGTTCGCCTTGGCACACGCGGCCTTCTCCGCAGCTCAGCGTAAGTCTGTGTCCCGAGCTGTCTCGGCCGCCGGTGGAGAAGCTGCCCTGCCCAGCCTCCCCCTATCCCCGGCAGGCTCCAGCTCATTCAGGGTATGGCCTGCTGCTGGCCTGCAATAGGCATCATCTCCGGCTGGCTGAGGGTCATAGGAGCTTTAATACTGCACCACCCCCTCCCAGCTCTAGAAGAACGTTTTAACCCTAAATGAACCCAGATCTCGGTGTAATGATACGCACAAATCAAATGGCTCTCTCTATCTTTAATATGACAACTGGAATGCAGCTCTCTGAGTGTATTAATGCAGCCCAATCATAGAATTCAAGCTAATGGTAAAAAAAATAATTGTAATAAAGCTATTTAAAGGAACTCAAAAAAAATATATATAAATAAATATATATATATATATATATATATTTTTTATGTATGATGAGTTCCCTAGGAGTTATGGTATCCACCCCTCCCCCCCCCTTCATTTTTGTTTTAAAAATACATTTTTATAAAGCAGGTAAACTCACCTGTAACCCAGTGCAGAGACAGATGTTGAGATCATAAACACATTGATCTTTATCCAGTACAATGCTTCTCTAAGAATTTGGGACATACAGAGCCATGATAGGCAATGGCTACAATCTGCTTAAGTATTTTTTTTTTTTTTTATGAGAAGCATTAGCTGCGTTCATTTAATCACGCTGTGCTTCATGACGCCAGCAGTCCTTTATAAATAGGAGAATTTCAAGGAAGAAGGTTCTAGTGTCTGTGTGTATATACTTGACAGTGTTTGACGTGTTTTCAGGTAAATGTAAATATTGCTGTTTTTGAGAAGTGAAGGGAAAGCATCTGTACCTCAAAACCACTACATAAAGATAGAGGTTTTGGTACTTAAAGTATTCTTGAGGAGGGACACACACACACCTCTTATTCTGCACTATTGAATTAAGAGCTGGAGGTTGCAGAGACAAATATAAGTTGTTGAAAATTAAAAGTAAATATGTTTCTAGAAAAATTCTTCTTATTACCTATGTTTTTAATTTTTCAGTTTTATCCCAAGTTTGAAATACACGTTGAATTATCAATAATTGACTGTTTAGTATGGCGAGCATTCGGTATCTTCATGCAGAGGGTGAAGACTGTGGTCAACGTTTGCTAAATCACAACACAAGGTCCTCTCCAGCCACTAGAACTATGCTTAGGGACATGTGTGAACACTACCTTTTCTCAGTGAAGGCATTGTTTACAAATCAGAACAGTTAATGTGCAGCAGGACCACTATATTAAAAGCTGTAGTAATTCTGGCGCTTAGTGTCCCATTAAGCATAAAAAATTATAACTGTGTCGCTCTTCACATATATTTAAATATCTAAATCAATTCCTATACCTATTTGCTGTGAGCTTACTTTAAAAAAAAAATTCTTTATTTAGGTGTGCATTGTGTAATATAGATGCATTTATATCACTTTAGCATATCAACGGTGTTTCATAACTAGCATTAAACATATACTGTGATTGTGGTTATGTATATATTTTTATTTTATTCTATCATGAGTGTGTCCCTAGTGAGCTTCTAATGATCATGATGCGTAAGAACACTTGTGTTTTCCGTCTAAGCCTAGGGAGGGTGGTGCAAGAGGTATATATTCTGAGGGGAGTGCAGGTATTTGCGGACCATTTGTGTTGGCTCTCGTGTGATCAGGCCTAGGAACATGTACAGGTCTGTGGGGTAGACCTAGATTGAAGGCCAGCGACATTCTGCAAGTGAATGCTGTTTGTGTGTGTTGTTCTCCTCATGAGAGGGGGGTGTCTACCATTGTGCGTAGCGGACCTCTCGGTGGAGGTAGTGCCCCTAACCAAGGGGGTGTCGGGGGGGGGGCGGTGCGGTCTGTGCGTACGGTACAGTGGCATGCTATAAATGGCATTGTGAAACCGGACCAGGGCCATAAATGGAACTATTAAGCGAGTGTGAGTGAGATATGGTTAGCCAGGGCTCCTTATTCCTAGGCATCCCAGGCCCATTATTGTGTCACCGTGTGGGTGAATAAGCGAAAACATAAACATGAAACCAAAATCATAACGTTAAAACTTTGCAGTCCTGACCCTTGTGGGAGACGAGGAGGGATCTTGGCGCCTCCATCTGTAGGTCACTCCTGCGGCCCGCAGTCAGGTGGTGAGAGGGCTCCAGGATTTCCTCCATTGCAATGTGGTTTCGGATAAGTCCTGGTAAAAGGACAGTTGGGAGTCCTCAAATATAAGTGGGGTCTTGTTCCTCACCACTGCCATGATGTGCCCTTTGTTTTGATTTAGTGTACATCGGGGTATGATGTCCCCGGGCACTGTGGAAGTAGTTGTGGTTGGCGTCGGTAGGTGATATAGCCCAGCGATATTGATTTTTCTTGCGGTGGTGGGTGGCAGCACCGTGGTTAGCAGCCTCCTCACATAGTTTGGCAATTCTTCTCCAGGGACAGTAGCAGGTATCCCCCTGATCTTTATGTGGTTGCGGCGGTACCTGTCCTCTTGCGCCGATAATTACAATGATACCTGTTGGGCTGTTTGTAATTGGAGCATGGATGCCTGCATAGTGGAGGCTCTGTGTGAGGCAACCACAACTCCACCGTGTCCCCCACGAGGTCCCCTGCTCAGGACGTGCTCGAGGTCACTGTAAGCCGGCCTGTAGAAGGCCCCCGTACTTGCATTTAGTTTTTGGTTGCTTCAGGCAGTATATGAAGGGCAAGATATCTCGCAGATTGTGTTTTCACTGTCGGAGCAGGGAGAAATAGCATTTTTTTTTAAAACCCTTTCTCTAATACCTTTTTAACTGTCAGGGGAATCCATTTTACTCGTCTTGATAGGTTGATATAATGGGGACAATTGATTCAGCAAATACATATTGACCAAATAATTAATTCCAGTGTTTAATTCCTTATTTTCCTTGCTGTTAACTTGGGTGTTTGGTCTTTAAACCCTGAATTGCTAAGTGAATTGAAAAAATGCTCATTTAGAAAAGTGCTCTAGCATTGCTGTTTTAGCCCACACTGCGTAATTTGATTTTCATTTCACTAAAATTGGGTTAAGTAAATAAACATGTAGGTGTTCACATATGCGCTTGGTCAGAGTGCTTCTTCTCATTTTTTATTCGCCAGGCTGTGCTACCATGCATACCGTATTTCACAGCATAATGGTAGCACCCTGATTTTTCAGTCCAAAAATTTGTTCAAATCCATTTCATCGCGTAATAGTCGCATAACTGACCATTGCTGTTTTTGTTGTGAGACATTCTTATTCTTGAAAACTGATGGCGAACATCCTACTAATCTTATACTTTAGACACGATTTATTACCTATCGTTTTTTTGTATTTTAGTGCATTTTACCTATGTAATGCATTAGGAAATGTGCATGTTCTTAGCTAAAACAGGAGGACAGGGATCAGGATCAGAGTTTATGTAATGCATTAAGAAATATGCATATTCTCAGCAACTGTTATGTTCTCAGCAACTATAGTATTATCAGCAACTATTAAAAAACAAACAAAAAAAACCCCAAAGCTCCACATGATAGTCGCATATAATATCACAAAAAATAAAGCTTCACATAACTGTTGCACACAGCATAATGGTCGAACCCCCGTTTTTAAAGGAAAGGAATTAAAATCGGCGACCATGTGGTTAAATATGGTATTTGACAGAGGTTTTACGTTTAAACATGCCCAGCATTGTTGTTGAATATTCTTTAAAACCAAATGAAATGCAAAGTCTGCATGTATTAAAGTGCGTTTGAGTACTTATTCATCGCTGTATTGCCAGCCATTCCTTTTTCTTTTAAAAGAAGAAAAACTACCACAACAAGAGGACATAGTCTTAAATTAGAGGGACAAAGGTTTAAAAATAATATCAGGAAGTATTACTTTACTGAGAGGGTAGTGGATGCATGGAATAGCCTTCCAGCTGAAGTGGTAGAGGTTAACACAGTAAAGGAGTTTAAGCATGCGTGGGATAGGCATAAGGCTATCCTAACTATAAGATAAGGCCAGGGACAAATGAAAGTATTTAGAAAATTGGGCAGACTAGATGGGCCGAATGGTTCTTATCTGCCGTCACATTCTATGTTTCTATGTGCTGGTTACATCGGAGCTAAGGAGGCAGTTTTCCTAAATACATGTTTTGGTGTATATTTTATTTACATTATTTATACTTCTTCTGAGAAGATTTGTTCTTGTCCACTCTGTAGTTACTTCGTATATAGAGATCCAATATATGTTGCACTATATAAAGTAATCCATGGTGCTGGTAAGTTTAAAGCAGTGAAACCGGACTGCAGAGTTCCACAGATTTATAGATATTGTGAAGACGTGTTAGTCCTCCTAGTGGTGAATTTTTAGATTCCTTTATGTCCTATTCTGAGTTATTGGAAATTTGTACACCTGTCCAACATGACTATTTTTCTGTTCCATTTCATATTTGAAACCCAGGACATACCTGAAAATGAGAGAAATCTCAATGTATCCATCCTAATTTATAAATAAATATAAAGGCATGTGTATATAATGAAAGTTGATGAGAATAAAATATTCACCATTGTTTAGTAAAGTGATTTACCCTAAAGGGGCTTTCCAGGCACCATAACCACTATAGCCAATGGAGGATCCTACACAGATGGGAAAATCCTCACTGTTGGAATATGCAGTGTGGAAAAAGATTTGTTTAGAAATGTCAGCCTTAAGTTTAATATCAGTCCTGCCAATACACCAAACATCTGGCATTCTACCTCCATTGAATGATTAGGCAGGGAAACTGCATGTGTGCATGAGAAGCTTGACATACTCATGGGGATGGATTGGTGCACTAATAAATGCAAGTGTCATCATATCTATGATGGCAAAGTCTTGTGTATTAAAATCAATCCTAAAGACAGAGCAGGGGGCTCTACTGACTTGAAAATAACTGAATAGACATTTAATTATTGCGCACCCAGTGCTTACAAGGATAATTTTCGTTTGCTCCCAAACAGTATTTGTTTAAATCCCCTGTGCTAACATTCAATGTTTTTAACTGTAGATCGTTCCTACATGCGACTTACTGAAAAGGAAGACGAGACGCTACCAATAGATGTAAGTACGGTTAATAATAAATCAGGATGTTCTATGACTTTGAAAATGTTTCTGGATTTCTTCTTTTGAATTAAAGAATGTTCCTTCCCTAACATGACTCTCTACATACTGCATTCCATGTCTTAGTCTGGCTGAGAATTTGGGAGTTGTAGTTGGTGTTTCTAAGATGACATGTCCACTGATATAAAATAAATGAGCATGTTTACACACTATTACAGTTAATCTTGGAAACCACTGTATTACCCTTTAGTGTAAATAAAAATAGAATTTTTATTGTACTATATATACACTGGCCAGATTTATATTGCTGTCAAATGTACTGAGAATCTTAAAAAACCAAATATGTTCTCTGGTTGAATTGCAGATAGTTCTCCAAACCTTGTTGGCTTTTGTAGTATCCTGCTATGGCATTGTGCATATTGCTGGAGAATTTAAAGACATGGATGCTACGTCAGAATTAAAGAATAAGTATGCCTTCATTTATATCTGTCTATCTTTCTTTCCAGTAAATAGATTAATTGCTTTAATTATACAGTGTATCGCATATCTTTGTTTTTAACTCAAAACATAATAGTTGTTCTTAATGCTCTAATAAAACAAAACATATGGATGCTTCAGGTATTCTTTCAGTTCACTCTTCTCCCAGTCCCATCTCTGCTGACCCCCTTATAAAACTCTTTATACCTCTTCCACTTCCACCATCTTTTTTGTTTTTTTCCTGCATTAAGGACTTCTTTGTTCTTACTCCCTCCATTTCAGTTCTCCTTCTGTCTCTCATCTCTCTATCCAGTTCCTTACCAACGCCCTCACCCACTTATTGTTCCCTATCCTCCCTCTACCATACAAATTAGTCCTTACTGGTCCTCTATTTCTTCTCTCCTCCATATTGGTAAACCTTCCCTTCTTGCAGTTCCACATCATTTTTTTATTTTTTTTTCAAATGTTCAAGCAGAAGTAATTAAAAATGAGTAGTTTTAGGTAGATTTGAAAATGTTAAAAACCCATAATGCAGTCCCCACCTCTAGCCTTATCAAGAGCAACTTCCACCCTGAGCACCCCAGTGTTTTTTTTCAGGCAGGTCAGGTCGCAGAGTTCTCTGCTTGCCCTTGGAAGAATAGGTTAAGCTACTCAAATTTTTAGTTTTTGAACAGACATGGTGAGGGGAATGTGGCTCCCTGAGGGCTCCATCTGGCTTTTGTAAAGGATTGCCTGACTATGCGCTTGTCCTTTTGTCTCAGAAAATTGAATAGCCTAGTAAACCTCTAATGCATCCTAAAGAACAATGCTGTGAATTAACGAGCAGAGGTTAAAATAAATAAGGAAATAGTATATCAAGGAGTGTAATCATGTAATATACAATTAAATCTTACTCTATTAGCCAAAGTTGTATATTAATGTAACGAAAATAAAAATTTTCAAAATTGCAGCGTGCGCGTGAGAATAGTGTTATACAGACTGTAGCTCAGTCTGTAATTTAATAGGAGGTTTAGTATATAGTATAATAAAAATAGAGAGAAGAAAAATGTTGCCTGTGTCAATATGCTGGGTTGACTAATGGCATTGTAAATAACATGATTACTAATTTTTTTTTATTTTTATTTCCCACAAAGAACCTTTGACACATTAAGAAACCATCCATCATTTTATGTATTTAATCACCGAGGTCGGGTCATGTTTCAGTCTCCCGATTCAGAGGATTGTCACCAAAACCAAGCTACATTTACGTCCAATCCTTCGCTGAAGCTTCGAAAACTAGAACCGATGAATCGTTAAAAACAGATTTTTACTGATCATAGAACAGGACATTGAAATAACATTGGAGTCCCGGATGTAAACAATTTTTTTCTTTTTTTTTTCTGGAGTAGTATCTATATTGATCTTCCAGACTTTATAAAAATTTAAACGAGGACTTTCTTTGTACACCTAATAAAGAGGACTGTATTGCGGATTTGCAATGCAGTGTAACTTATTGCTACAATTATGCTGTGAAAGATGTCTTTTAACTTGGGAAAATATTAAACGATGCTGCAGCTGGTTCCTTATTTTTTTTTAATTTTTTTTTTTTATCTTAATTGCTTAATTCATTGGGATAGTTAATGCTAAAGGCTAGATCAATTGTTATTTAATAAATTTTTTTTTTTATCTATAGAAACCAAGATTTATATATGCGGCTTTGAAAATATTTTTCATCCGTAAATACAGATAGCTATGTGACCTTTTCTTCAGTTGTAAAAAATAATCTGCAAAACACCTTCTTTACACTGGGGAAGGCTGTGCTACCAGTATTTTTATTTTATACATCATTCCCAACACAATTTTACTGTAAAACTGGATCTGGGTCATTCGGAAACAAGAATGCATGGGGATAATTAAAGTTATTCACTAAAATTAGAATTGTCAAGAATTCAAAGTGAATTTTAAATCTAAGGCCAAATTAGCTGAACCTGGGGCATTGCTGTTTTGGAGACTTTTAACAGTTTGATTATTTTAGTTTTTATATTCAAATTGAATTCTTATTTTAGTCAATAACCCTAATAAATATCTGGGATGGCTGCTGGGTTGTATTACAGGTATATGCCAAGTTTTCAACATATTGAGCAAAAGCAGAACACAAATAATAGGTACATTTTTATCAGTAACTTGAAGGATTTATCATGTGGCCTTCCACTGTTATATGCCATATACAATGTACAAACATTCTACTGTGTAGCATGTGAATTACAGTCAGTTATTCACTAAACACATTGTGAGTTGGAAAATATTTCCACATTTTTTATTTTAGCCTACTCTTCATATTTAAATTACAATTTGGTGTTTAGTAAATGGCTCTTAATGGGTGTATTAAGTGAAAAGTTGACAAACCTTGCCTCTTTCTTCTGTAAAATAGTTCTAAGTGCATTCCTGACAGCAGCACGGGGTGAAACTACAGATCGCTATTTGTAATTTACTCTGCAGTTAATTATTGCCTTTAAATCCTTTATGAACAATGACCAGACAGAACCAATCTAAGGCAATTCTGATTCTATACATTGAGTGTATTGATGGCCCCTTTTTTAAATTTAAAAAAAACAAACAAACAAAAAAAAAAAAAAAGCTGTCACAGCCTGTCTATAATATTGGAGGAACTGAAAATGGTAGAGGTCATCTGTTTGAACCCCTTTAAAAAAAAAAAAAAAAAAAGTGCCCAGCATAGGTCTTTCCGAAATTTAAGACAACCAACAACTTGTTTTGAGGTCAATGAGCAGACTGTGGACCCAAATGGGTAATACCTGCTATAAATCTTTATGACTTTATTGCACAAAAAGATTCCTTCTGGTACATACAGACTCTTCAAGAAATATTATGGCATTGGCATAGCAGTAAAGTTCAGGTAAGTTAAATTAGCAAAGTATATTATTCTAGTAATAGTAAATATTAAGTAACTCATCCACACAGTTACTGGCAATTTGACTAGAACAATGTGTAGATTGGGTTTAAAAGTGGCACCAAGTAATATTAAGCATGATGTGCAATTTAAGGAAACACACGAGTTTGGTCCTGGAATCAAATTCCTCTGATAGCATTTGATTGGAGAAGTGTGATGTTTGCCTGCACATGCCTCATTCCAATCCATTGCTTCTCTATGAGAAGCAATTGATTGGAGGAGATCATGAGTGATGTCAGCATCCAAGACGATCGACAGAGGAGGAGCTGGAAGCTGCAGCGAAGGAGTCTCAGTGCTGGAAATTAGGTATGTAATAATTATTTTCTTAACATTTGCAGAGCAAAGGAGAGTGGTTAATGATCACTTTGCTGTAAGGGAAAACTATGTAACAAATGTGTTTTGGAACTATAGGTTACCTTTAATTTTCCCTTTTAACTACATTTGAAACTGCATGCATGTCAGGCTTTGAGTGTTAAGATTATTTATTTCCATGTATGTAACGTGATATAAAGCACTCCGCCCTATATATGTACTTTCTCTCTTTATTACAATGATGGTCATCAAATGGTTGGACACAAGTGAAAGGCAGCAAAAATAGAGCAAGCTGACTTTAGCGTAAAATAGAAGATATGCATAGTTATTTGGCTATTAGTTGGAGTCATACAATAGAAATAACATTTATTTTATATAGATAATACAGTGGCCTACGACCAATAGAAGAGGAATATTATTTTCCCAATATAATAGAAGAATCTTATTCAAGGATTGTATTTCTATGCCAAAAACCATTACACAGGGCTCAAGTTTGCCCTGGTTTCTTGAATGCATAAAACTTGGTCAACAAATATAAGGTAAGAATTAATATGCCACCTGAGTAGAATCAGTTCATACTACTACATCCTATTGCAAGATTTCACAGGTTATGTCACATTTTAAAAGAAGAGTTTTTTTTAATTATTTTTTTAAATAATCTACAAGAAGCCATTGTAGACCAGAGGTAGGAAACCTCCAGCACTACAGGTTTTGTAGACTACGCCCCCCCCCCCAATAACGCTGGCAAAGCAGGAAGGGAGACGTAGTCTGCAATATTTGGAATGCCGGTTTGCCATATTGGGATCCAAAAGTGGGTCTTCAGTAGTAGGAATTGGCACATATTCACCACAGGCAACTGCCAATAAATTACTTTAGCAGCACTACATTCCCCAGTATTTTATATTGAATTTCAAGTCTAAATCTGAGCTCAATTGTTAGTTGATGTATGGGGCTGCCAAGCCAATGCTGTGTACATAATTTATTCCTAGGATAAAAAATGTCTTAAGAAACACTGATTTAGGTATTGCCATAACTAGGAGATACCTTTAGATTGTAAGCGCGTGGGCTATGTAACAAAGCACATTGTATAAAAGAGCTCAAGTGTTAGATCTCAGCTCACAGCAGAGCCCTCTTTACTTTTTGTATTTGTCTGTACGGTCTTCCTTAATTGTACAGCGCAGCAGAATATGTTGGCGCTTTATAAATGGCAGTAATAAATAATGTCTGCACAAAATCTATTCAAATAACAATTACAAGCATACATTTATTATGTTGTTACATGCATATGACTAAGAATTGCCTCTGACTCTTTGGTCTTCAATGTGGTTAGTTTGATATTTTGACAATAAATGTTCCTGAAGATGTGGTTACAATATTGGACTCTTTGCATTTAGTCAGAGCAAAACATACCCAAAATGACTTCTGTCCACAATGTAAATGCTGTATATTTCATTTGGTAATGAGTGCTTGTCCAAAGATTGACCTTTCTGATAATCTTTGTGATTTTAGCAAGGGTTTCTGGGAGTCAAATTCAAATCCTCTGCTTTCTACAAGTCGTGACATTATGTACAGCAAACATTTTTGGTTTAAAGAAGGAAAATACTAAGATAAGGCAGAAAATTAAATATTGCTCCACAATGTGTGTGTGCTAAATCCATGTAGTAGTTTTTTTTTGTTTTGAATCTATCATCTGAAAAGTTGTTTTACTGTTCTTCTGGTTAAAAGTTAACTTTTTATAGTAAAAATATGCAAACCCTGTTGCTGTCTCTACTGAAAAATCAATGCAAATTTATTTCAATGCACCTAATAAAACAACTGTATGTGAGTATTCATTTTTCATTTCTGTTTATCCCTTTTATGATTTGTGTGACTGTCTGTCTGATGTTCTATCAAAGAATGTCCCATCATCTATCTCTTCAATAAACTCTGGGAATCTATAAGTACTGCACTGTTGCAAGTGGCTGGCTCAGCATCATGGGAATACTAGTCCACAGCATCAGGACGTCTAAAAAAAAAAAAAAAGTCTGCCTTTAGTAGACTGTGTTTTGGTATCACGTTGTTGGTTTGTGTTTGTTAAAATATCAAATGGTTTAATATATATATATATATATATATATATATATATATATAGTGTACATGTGTACTTCTTCACTCTCTCCTAGAGGAAAATAGTCAACAAGAATCTAAACATGAAACAAAGACAGTTGATTGAACCCAATGAATTTTGTCTGTAAGCTTGTCTCCCCCATCTTTTTTGGTAACTCACAACACAATGTTAACACACAGTAACAAAATAAGAACCGTACTGTAATGTGATCCTTGCATTGCCAAAATAAACAGTTCTTAGGTTAGGTTTATGTTTGGATGAGAAAGACGAGTACAATTCTAAGAGTTTGGATCAAAACAGGCCAGAAGTCGTTTTCAGCAGAAGGAAGTTAAAGGACCACTCTAGGCACCCAGACCACTTCAGCTTAATGAAGTGGTCTGGGTGCCAGGTCCTTCTAGGGTTAACCCATTTTTTCATAAACATAGCAGTTTCAGAGAAACTGCTATGTTTATGAATGGGTTAAGCCTTCCCCTATTTCCTCTAGTGGCTGTCTCATTGACAGCCGCTAGAGGCACTTGCGTGCTTCTCACTGTGATTTTCATGAGGGCACCCTCAGGGCACTATAGTGCCAGGAAAACGAGTATGTTTTCCTGGCACTATAGTGGTCATTTAAGCAGAAGGGTTATATCATCACTCAAATTTTAGGTGCATTCAATGCATGTCTGCGGGCACATACTCCCTTTCTGTCTCGTTTTGCAACCCATTAGAAAGATTGTATTATGGCATCATCAGTTTTTTGGTTACCTTTCCTAACTTGCATGCAATCAAAGAATGCAAAAAAAAAAAAAAAAAACACGCTGTCTCTGCCTGTTCTGGTGACAGCTCAGTAACATTCCCATTTTGTGTAATGAGTCAATAGATATGATGTCATTTCACATGCTGTTATTATCGGGAGTAATTACAGAAGTGGTACAACAATGGGGCAGGAGAACTGTCTCGGGCACTGGGCCATGCAGATGAAGATGGAAGAATTGAAGGGTCAAGAGAAGACTGTAGGGCAATGGGGAAGTGGCAAAATGTAATCATGGGCTGGTAGTAATGGGAAGGAATTATTGGAATACATGGAATAGTGCAACAGAAGGAGAGAAAATAGTCAAAGATCCAATCAGTGTAGCACAGGGACATAACAGATAGAAGAATGTGATTAGCAGGGGCACTATTGGCAAATGAGGAAGTAGTGAGTGCAATAGGAGGGAGAATGTGTTACAAGATTGAAACCAAGATTGACAAAGAACAGAGTCTGGGAGCAATAAGGGTGAGATAATGGAGAAAAGATAATAAGAGAAAGGGGGGAAAAAAAAGCTACAAGGGTTGGACAATGCAGAACATGAAATAAAGATGTAATACAATGAAAAGGAGATTGGAGGACAATAAAAGAAAGGATGAAAATGAGAGGAATATTAAAGAGGAAGATAAGCACAATGGAAATGAGTAAATTCTACCAAAGAAAGTGTAATTACCAATGAAAGAATGTACAAATGTTTGTACAGTGTGAGCATAGTTCGAATCATGCTGTGATTGGCTGAGCCAGCACTTACAGCTTCTCATTGCACGACCCATGACAGAGTGCTTGCTCACACTATCCAGGCATTTGTATAGATAAAAAAAAAAAAAAACTCATTTTGATGTGGGTGCACGTGTGTGTAGGCTTGTGAAACCACTTGAGAGCAGTATGCCAAAAAAAAAAAATATATTTTAGCAGTGCACTTATAGCCTGTTTTAGCAATAAATCACTACGGTAGGCTGCTTAGTGGCCCTTTATGCACTGCCTTAGTTTTAATATTATTACTACAATAAAGGGTCCCTTTAGTTTAGGGGGTTTGGCTGGGGAGATGTAAATATATCCCCAACTGGATCTCATTGCTTTTTTTCCCATGGAGTGCTGTTAGAATGTGATATCAGATCACACTGCCCAGGAGTGATGGAGGAGCAAGAAGCAACCTGGACCAGTCCGCTCTCACTGACCACAGACAAGTCATCATCCATCACTAAAAGGTCAGGAAAGCAGAGATGGCTAGAAACATACAAAGCATCAATTTCAAAATGTGTGTGTGTCCCCATCTGGGAATTAATGAATGTGTCAGAGTGAATAAATACATATAAGAGTGTGTCTGGAAATGATTGTGATTTGACTTATGTGGGAGTGTTTGTGTGTGGATGTGCATGTGAAAAAGACAAGCATCACTAGAAACATGTAAAATATCAATTTCAAAATGTGTATATTTTTTTTTTTTAGCAGTATGCGAATGCGAATCTCACAGTATGTCCGAGAATAGGTGTCTAAAAGTGAATTTGGGTGTCTTGACATGTGTGCACGTGTCTGAAAGTGTATGCCTGTCTTCGGGAGTGAGTGTTTTAGCAATGTATCTGAAAGTGAGTGTATATGTCTGGCAGTGAGTTTGTGTATAGAAAGCAATGTATGTCTACAAACATGTAAGATATACCTTTCAAAGTGTGAGACTCAGTGTGCAGCTGACTGTGTGAAAACAGGATGGTCTAGGGCTCTATGCAATCAAGCTGTGTAAACCATTTACTGGAGAACCCAGCAATGTTTCCACACCAACTGCTATTGAAGTTGAAACATTGCTGGGTTCTCCAATAAATATGCCTGATTTACACACCTTGATTGCCTAACTATTGACCAACTTAAGGTCCTGTTAAGCATAGGGTTTGTAGGTGGAGTCCGGGAAACCTAATTTCTACAGTAAAACCAAGTGTGTGCCAAGACCTATGTGGATGTGTCTGAAAGTGTTTGGGTATGTCTGGGAATGAGAGTGTGTGCATCTGTCAATGTGTCTAGAAGTGAGTGTGTGCATGTGAGTACCATACATGTTTCCACGGACCCTTCTGTTTTCCAAAGCATAAAATTTAAAGTGTGTTGATATTTATGTGTGTGGGATGCATATCTATGTGTTGTTTCTGGGAATGTGAATGTCTATGTCTTGCTTTGTATGTGTCTGTGTGGCTATGACTGGAGAGATAAAGGTTGTGACAGCAGCCTTAACCATAGGTAGTTGAGGTCCAGCAGGAAGATGCATAAAGAACACATTGCAAAAACAATCACTTGCTTATGTCTCTAGCAAGCATATGGTAAAATAAATAGTTGTGACTGCATGTTGTGCTGCACAGTGTGTCTGCCTGGCAATGTTCCTGGGAGTGACTGTGTGTCTGAAAGGAAACTTAGTTGCTTCCTGAAGAATTGCAGTGTGTATAAAGTTACACAAAGTACCTGCTGCCTTATATACCTGCCAAAGGTTGCTGTCCACCCCACAGGGATCCTCATACAAATAGCAATTCTATTAATCGCAGAGAAGAGCGATTTTTTAAGATATTTACTTTTCATGTATGCCACTTCTGAGCTCCTAACAGAGTCACAAGTCTTGGGCCTTGAGTGCGTATCGTATCATTTAGGTGGACAGTTTCTGTGAAGAAAGATTTTACAATACGAATAACACAAAATGAGAACAAAGCAATGAATTTAAACTAAAGACATTTCTAAATTAAGCATAAACCACAGCCTTGGTTAATACATGGCTCACAATCATTCTGCAAATCCCATGCACCCCTACTTGTAGGCTATCCTTATGTATCCATTTATTAACGGTTTACATAAATAGCAACATTTACATTTTATTCTCTTCTAGGTAACCTCTTATCCTGTCCTTCCAGTTCACTTCAATGGAAGAGTGGGAGATTGTCCATTTCAATGCATTTCCACAGACCTTGAAACAACACACGTTATCAATTTTGGGGAATCAATTTTGCACCGGGGCCCCATGGGTCATGTGTACGCCACTGATATAGGACATTGCCCCCAAACCATTTTAATGATCTGAAGTGGACTGTGTGCCTACAGTATCCCTTTAACTGAAGGTGCCTGTGTCATTATGTATATAGGTCACAAAACCTTTTCTAGTTTCCCTACACCCATTGCCAACACTACTAGATTCTCTCTACACACCTGTGAAACTGGTTTTATTCAAAATGGATATGAACAGCCTGAATATTACAGTAAATCTGTCAAAAGATCTTCAAGAGACTCACTTCCATGCAGGTTAGTCATATACTCACGTGGAATCATCAGTTTCCTTTTGGCCACACAGATTCAGTACTAAGGAATTGTGATCCTCTTTTTCAAATAGAGAAACAGATACTTTAAGGGTAGATTCTTTTGTAAGCAGGTTACCACGACAGGATTATTACACATGTTCGTTAATGTGTATTGCCCGATGAGAATTGCTGCATGGCTTTATTTTGAAGTGTATGGATACATAAGGAGGGGACACTTTGAACTGCAGAAATGTATTCATACACTGAATAAGAGATTATTAACCACAGGACCATTTTCTGACTGTTGGAATGTCAGGAACAGGGACTGCACATATTCCAGAATAGATTTTTGTTTATGAGATCTATGACATGTATTCTTGCAAGATTGAACCAACAACATGTTTTTAACCACAGTCTGGTGATACGATGAACTCACCCTTACACAACCCACAAAATCGTTGTGGCATCTTAATGTCACAGGAAACTTCACCAGTTTTGACTTGAGAAGAACATGAATTAGTACTTAGAGATTCCTACAATATACTATATTTCGATCTTATGGTTAACTTCTCTGGATCATCTTTTATTCTCTGTGTAACTCACGCTTTCCACCTGTAAGTCCATTTTCTCCTGCCCTATTGACTTACACAGTATATAAGAGTACAAACTCTAACCTAAGTTACTGCTACAATTTTCTTTTTCCTTTAACAGCTCATTAACCTTAGATAAACCCTTCCGTACCTAAAAACAAAAACCTTTGAGGATTATATTACATTCAGATTATACCCCTTTCCCCACCTTTTATGAT